TACTTCTCAATATAGAATGAATGTCAGTAGATATGAAATATAAATATAATTTCCATTTTTTTTTCTGTGAAAATACAGATCTAGATTATAAAAAGGATAGGAAAGTTAAACAAATATGCTATGAGGTTGAATATACCAGGATGTTTATTGACATAGACACTACACAAACCATATACCACAGGTAAAGCTGCAGAATAGTACACACGAGAACGAATGTTATCAACCCACACTAAAAATACAGGCAATGAAAATAGATTTCTATCTCAGCATATGTCTTTAGATAATGTCTAAATACCTGCCAAATATCTCATTGATATCTCAATTAACAAATAGGTTTTGCCTAAAATTGATGCTAAAATTATCAGGAGTGCAACATCTTTTTGTGACATTTTGAAATTTCAATATTTTTTGGAGATCTGTGAAATAAATAATAATGCTTTTTGTTGAAAATAAAGACTTTCCTGATAATATTCAAAATATTGAGCTTTAACTGTGGACTTTAGTAACTTTTGTTTAATCAAGTTGTGGTCATGGCTGAAGTTTAAAAAAATGTTATACCATGTCAGGAGTGCAACAGAAAAAAAGTAGTGCTGCCAAAAAAAACATTAATTGTAAAATTCTGGAAGAAAATGAAGACAAAAAAGAATTTTCGAAATGTAAAACAATAACTGATGTACATTTTAAAACTTAAAAATGTTATATAAATCCCAAGCGACATTAATGAGAGCCAAGTATATGTGCATACCTAATAATGTCAGGAGTGCAACATTTGATGTTTTGCTCCCAACCATGAAAAAACTATTATCATTAAATGATTTTCTGATTTTTATTTTGGAAAATAAAGACACAAAGAACTTTTTTACCAAAACAGATTTATCAATTACAAGATCTGTCTGTGCTTCAGACCTATATTTCTATGGTCAGGAGTGCAACACATTTTTTTAAAGATTCAAGTTGTGTGACGAAAACACTTCTATTCATGCTGTATTCATTAATTAAAAATGATCTTTTTGTATAATTTAATAATAAATTATTGACATTTTTATTATTAAAATCCTTCCTTTTCTTCAATTTTATAAATTCAGATGTGTTTATATCTTTTTTGTGATTTTTTAATGAATATTAAAAATAAACACACTAAAAAATTGTCATAAAATTCAAGTAATTCCTCCTCAACTTCACTGAAACAACAGAACAAATTGTTAGGTAATTTTCACTTCACAATTCTACTTTAAAGGTCCCCATGCTTTTGGTCAGGAGTGCAACAAATATGTTGGAATTATAAATCATCCAATAAGAATAAAAATAAAGAAAAAAAATGTTGAGTAGAATTTTTCTGGTGGGTTTCTGTGTTGCCTCCAAAGGAAAATATGCTATTAAATATGTTTTATCTTCTAAAGATACATTTAAGCTAGTTTTTTTTTTTTTTTTTTTTTTTTTTTTTTTGGCATAAATAGGTAAAAATTCCAGTTAAAATGCGCATTTTAAATACTTTCATCTGTTTTAAAAATGAAGTATTGGACTATAAATATTGCACAATTTCATTTCCACTTGATGTTGCCAACACTTTATTAATTTTTGTATTCTATGATTTTAATTTTAAATTTTACCGCAGATAGGAGTGCAAACAACTGTGTTATAATTACCAAATAAATGAATGCTTCTTAACTATCTTTACTAAAAAATAAGTTGAAAATAAATGTTTGATACTATTTGATGTTCCAAACACTATGTCTATCAAGAAATTACAGAAATTTTACAATCAATTCAGGGAATAGTTTTCATCATTTTCACATATATTTTCAATTACAATTTATATACATTACACTTTGCACATAATCATGTGTTAAAGTCTTCAAAATATGAAAAACCTGTCGTAAACGATGAAAAATATCAAAACGACAAATTGATTTACAAAGTAAGAATGGGTTATTGTGTGTTCTAATTTTTAAAACAATGTTAAATAATATATATATCAGATGTCAGGAGTGCAACACAATAATGTAACATTGGGTCATTTCAAAATCTAGTATTTTTTGTAAGAGAACTCGTATATAAAAATTCTTTTTTGGCTTAGATTTAAAGAATTGACTTGCACGGACAACAAACTGACTTTTGGGGAATTTTATTGCTTTATATTTTTTCATATTAAAACTTTTCAAACCAGAATTGAAAAAAATAATTTAAAATAACAATCAAAAAGCCAATTTTTTGTCACATATACAAGAGAAGATACTCAATCAAGGTCTAGATTTAATCATTTATACCCCTTTTACCATTTTGAAGTATAAAAACTATAATTTCTTGTGATTATGTATTTTAGAAAGTCTTTTAAGGTGTAATGATATTTTCTTTTTTCAAAAGAAATTTTACTAATAAAAATTCTGAAACTTTTTAATCCAATTGTCCATTCTATTGCCACTTCAGGATTTTAAACTAGAATGCATGTGCAATATGATGATATAAGAAAAAAAATATGTTATAAGTAGTTGAATTTTTCCAAAAAAATTCAGTTTGGTGGTCATTTTTCACCCATAAAAAGACATGATCCTGATTTTATAATAGTGTACTACAATGTGCCATACTAAAATTGTAACACCTCAAACTGTTTACTATCAACCCTGAACTAAATATTCAACACGATCTTATCACACATAAAATCTCTTTTAATTCAATCAACAGAAATAAAAATATGCGCAATTTTCATTTCATAAATCTTTCTTGTACATTAAATATATACCCCTGTGCATACCTTGAAGAGAGGAGTTTATCGTATGATTTTTTTGACATTCATCAAAATGTCAAAAACATTAAATGATCTCTTTTCCTTTTCGTCAGCTGCATCTGCCGTGTCTTAAAAAGGGAAATGAAATTGAATGATCAAAACTCTCGTTTTTATGGGAGTTTAATAGCAACTGCATTTGTCAGAATTCAATTTTTGTGCCCTACGACAAACTTTTACCATTCATAATAATATGATATTAAAGATTATCATTATTATTGAGACACTGAGTTTTTTCGCAAGATATTTTTCACTTTATGATTTGATTTTATTTCAATGTTCATTCAAAAATATTTTGTCAGACATAAGAGTTCTTACCATTCGGTTTTATGTCAACAAAAATGAATCGCACGCCAAATGACTCCAGAACAGAAATGGGAGTATTAGGCTCTGTTACTGTGGATGGTTTTCCTTCTTCAGAATTACAAGTCCAAATTTCCGTTACGGAAACATTGCACTGGGACAAATATGGGTAAAGCGCATCACCTATTATCTGGTCAGACAAGTTTTTGGAAAGTGAGGAATTGCTTTCACAACAAGCCTTTACCTTAAAATACGCGTGTCCCCCCATGTTTGTCACCTCGTTGTATTTGTGCAGGTCATTTAAATGTTTGTGAAAGCCTAATATTTCTTTAAACACTTTAATGATTAAGATGTTTTATGAATTATAAAAACTGTCGTTTTGTTGAGAAAATTCCGGAATAAGATGACAGTTTCAGGAGACGAATCACATTATTTTTATTTTCGTAAATAGGGAAAAATAGGGTCGACGGAATCGTAAACCAAAAGAAAAAACTTTGGTCCAATCAAAGTCGTCTGTTGGGTACACATGCCACTTGCCAGTCATTTCTGACAGTTCGTAACAATGTTTACCTTAACCCTCCCTGTCACTCTTCGATTGCCCACATTTTACTATCAAGTTTGGGTCTGAAGTTATTGGTTATTGAAATGTAAACAGACGTTCAGGCGTTCAACCACACTGACATACTTCTAAAAATAAAGGAATGAAGGTACACTGTACAAGCTAGCTCACAGTTTAAGGAATAAACTTATCTGAGCTTGAATATGGGTCTAATTTTCTCTTGGAGTCTTCATTTGAAGTTAAATCTCAAGGTAAACTTTGTACACAATATATAGCCCATTTACATATTGCATATGAATCTGCTGTCTTCAAAAAAAAAACAAAGGGTAAAGTTCTGTTATGCAGTAAACGATTTAGAGTCACTACTCCCTACATACATAGAAACATTTAACAGGATACAAAATGTATCTTTATACTTTTATTTACCAATTTATAGCCATCCTAACCTCCTGTACATTTTTTTCATGCAAATGTAAGAAAGAAAAAATAAGAAGATTACTGGGTTTTTTTCAATTTTTTAACTTATAAGGAAATTAAGGGCTCACAAGACCGATATTGGTCTTAATTCTCTCTTTTATTGAACATGTTGACCTGCCGGGAGACATAGAGAAAAAAATATTTTTTTCTTGATAATTCCTGAATATTTTACTTTGATTTCCCTTTATTTCTTATGCTAGAAATAATTTCATTTTTACCTTTTTAATGTCAAATAACCATATCAAATACAGTGAAACTTGTCTAGTCCAGATGTTGCTCTATTCCGCAATCTCCTCTAGTACAACTGAAGTTTTGTTCTTTTCAGCGAATTCTAGTATTTAAAATGTTATTCTAATCCGGAATGTTGTGAAATTCGGACAATTTATTGAACCGATGGTGTCCAGATTAAACTAGTTTTAATGTATATTTTTATATCTCTAGAAATATGAAATTCCCCTTTGTCTGAAAACAAGAATGTAAACATTTTAGAAGAAATTCTTAATTCTTATTGTCAAAGAATATTTATATGAAATAGAGCAGTAGTCCCAAATATTCGAATATTTTAGCATTCTTTTCAGGTATAAATCAACCATGCAGCTTTGATTCGGTTACGGCTTTCATTGATTTGGGAATAGACTATTAACATGGTCACTCATTATGAAAATATCTGTCTGATAGTAAGCGTCCCTGCATGTTTGATCCAGTAAGAGCTACATAGCTATTTCATGCTTTAGAAGTCACTTGGGATATGGACTAGCTTGGATCTATAACTTAAAGCTGACACACCAAAAACCTGGGGTTCAGCATAATCTCGACCTGCTTGATGTATGTGAGATAAAAATTACGGACAATTCAGTAACATTCCTAAACTATACCCACCTCTCCCTCTGTAGATGGTAGCTCATCTGAGTATCGATCATCACAGACCACTTCCGACAAATCTGTGGGTGGCCATCTGCTCACACCTGGCCACGATTCGTTACATCGCTGGGCAAAATATCGATAAACCTTCCATGTTTGGCCGAAGTCATATGACCGCTCAATCAATAGAGCTTTTGGTCTGGAGGTCTTAAAAGTCATGATAAGATGAGTTAAATGAAATTCTGCCTCTAAATCTAACTGAATGTACACCTGTTGCTTGCCATTTTCTGCCTGCCACCATCGCAGCAACCTGTCGCTGGGTGACGATACAATGTTACCAATGCGGTGGCTGTTTCTATTGTACTCTGACCAAGGCTGGCGAGAGTCACATGTGAAACACGTTGTGTCCTCCTCCAAGTGACTGACAATACAGAAATTCTTTGGCCCCCTCAGACCACACGTAGAGGAGGCGGTCAGGTTAGCCTCCCGTCCTATGAGGAGTTCACCCATCTCAGGGTAACAGCTGCCTGTTTCACACCTAGGCTGCCTCTGGGACTGAGATCCTAAAAAACATACAGAATGATACAATAAGACATCTTTTCATATATCAAAATTTACAGAATAAAATTCTTTTTATTCATAGTGGACTTTTGTGAGAAGCGCTGACTTTTACAGTCGACGGCTTACTTTTACACTAGGACAATCTACAGGAGCTCTTTTGCGATATAAGTATTTAGCTGAACAATTAATTAAAAGGTAATAATGGGAAGTTTCAAAGCACATATTACGTTGTCTAGGAAGGGAACTGCAACCACCCTATCCTCAACCATCCCCCTTTCCACCTTGACCAACTCCTGTCAAGTTTTCCTTTCGAAATTTTTTTCCTTCCTTATTTAATTTCTTCAGCAAATGAGATTGAAAGGAGATACTACCCCTCATGAATAACATATTTTCAGTTATGTTTTTCTACCTCCTATTATCTCTTGTGTTGATTGTACACCGGTAAATCACGTAAGCGCCCCTAACACCATACCTATAACCACTATTAATGTTTTCTTATCTATTATCAATTCCGTACCTCCGTACTTAACACAAGTTCAAATGTCAAAGTCAGTCGTCGACTGTAAAAGTCAGCGCTTCTCGCAAAAGTCCAATGCATATACACAGTGAACTCTCGTTATTCCGAACTCGACTGGACCAAGATTAAACCTCTAGATATGCGAGGATTTAAAATGACAAGGATAATATTAGCATAAAGGAAGGATGGCTGGGACTGCCAACACACTTAGACATATCCTTGGCATTCAAGATATCGATCTTGCAGATAAGGAAGTTCAACTATAACTAATTGATTGATATTCATAGTACAAGAGACTTTTACTGAAAAATCATGAGAAAATTTTAATATTTGTGCACCCTAACATTTCTTTATCTCACCGTCAGCTTTAGCAAAAATGACAAGTATTTCAATCATATACTTGTATTGTATGTACATGTTTCTTCAGTTTTCTGAGCTTTCATACCACAAAGCAAAGGTATAACGTCCATTTTCAGATCCACAAAAAATGTATAAAAAATCTTAGTAGAATAACTACTGCTAGTAGAAAACATAAGACTCTTGAACATGACAAACAAACAGACAAACTGATACAATTCTACTCTTATCTTGCCTTTAAAAATCCGTTAGTTTGTGTCAATATATGTAGTAATATTATGTATGTGTATATTTCTTCATCTGTATAGTGGCATGATGGCATCAGATAACAGCCGAGGGAAAAGTGCACATTTTGCTGATAGAAAATTTAGAAATTTAAAACCTCAACATATCTAGTTCACCTAATCCTAAGACAACATTGGGATCTCTAGAATTACTACAGACAGTAATTTGACAGGTCATATGGTGGCGAATTTCTATCGTACCTGACATACTCATTACACCTTTGTCACAGTGCTGATTCTCTTTTATTTATATGCGCTAAACCAAATAATATTTTACTTGGTAGACTGCATTAGTCATTAATTCCTTCTTTTCTCATAATCATGACTTGAAAAAGGTATTAACATGCAGAACTTGCCTTTCGTACAATGAAAAGAAGACCCCATCTGGATTTATTTTATAACATTTTCACATTAAGGAAGTCTACAATTCTAACATAAAAACAAAGAGTACATATACAAATGAAAGTGTTAATATCAATAAATAAAGACCTTTTGTCTGTTGCTTGGTTGGAATTTCCAAATAATTTTAGCAATTCTGTGAAACATACATATCTAGTACCTACACTCAGAAAAACATAAAAACATACAAGACTTAATTGACCCTTTTTGGTTCAGGATCCTGAACCCTTTTAATTGAGAATTTCTAATCAAAAAGGCGCACAATTTGGAAAAACTGATGCCTAATAATAATGTTAATGTTGAATCAAGAGTTACTTTGAAGGCCAATTCCCTATTCACATCCTTATGCATCATATGAATCTTAAAATTCAAGTTGTGTTATTAATATGAAAAGTACTGAACAATTCAATCCACATGTCGTTGGAATTTTTTACGTACATTTTAAATAGGAAAAAAATAGTAAATTAATAATTTGGACAGGGTTCTTTTACAGGACTTAAATTGATTGGGTTCATTAGCCCTGACATACCCAAAATTTAAATCATTGACCACATGTATCAAAAAGTTTTGAATACTTACAATTTTTTTTTGTTAAAAATTAATACAGTTTGAAATTGATGTAATTGGATTTTATTTTCAATAATTATTTGTATTGCAGTTTTAAATTGGTTTCCAATTTTCCTGCACCTGCTTTAAGACTTAAATTCTGTGACCTAAAGCAAGTACTAGTATATCCTTGACTTTCTTGTTAAATAATCGCTACTGATTTATGAATTTAATCCACTGTTATATCAATTCATTCAACATGAAACTTTTATTTTTCAAATTCAAAATTTATGTCAAGTGCGTCAAAAGACAAAAGCCACAAAAACAACGCGTTCCATTAACAAACGGCTCTGATTCATCAGTTTTAAATTTCTTACCAGGTTTTTGGCAGAACTTGATTAACTTTCCCTTGACTTTATTTACAAGGCATTGATTATATGAAAAATGTGATAAGAGTTCCGAAAATCCTTTGAAAAATGTCACCTGGCTACTTACAACAATGGGAACAACCTGTGTAATACATGTATCGTTACATTAGGACAGTGTTACAATCAGAATGATCAGAGGTGTAGGTGGTGCATGCAGATTTAAATGTACAATATGTCAAAAAAGAGGTCAGTTACTCCTGCAAGTATGAATAAATATAATACCATCAACTTACATGCATGCATATAAGTACAGAGAACAAAAGAAATAATAATTTCAGTGCATTTTTGTTATTTTTTTCAAAATAACATTTATATATAAGTCCCTCCACAATCGGTACAATAAGGATCATTATTGCTTCTAAATAATCTTAGAGGTTTTTATGATGTTAAATGTCATTTGTAACCTTAAGATTTATCAAAACCATCATATATTTTATGTATTTTAAAAATATTACTCATAATCTGATTGTGTAATGTTGAATCTCTAGACTATATCATTCATTGATAAATATCATTCATTCACAATTCTTACAGCGTTAGGTACATGTACCCCTATCCAGACAGTATATACAGTAGAGTTGTGTAAGGGTCTTAAACCTAAATCTGCTTTGTTAACTCTACAGTTGTCATGTGTGGAAAGGGGTAAATTAAGATAAGAAACTTATTTAGGTAAGACAAGTACACTTTTCAATCTCCACAACTTTGAAAGCAGATAAGATAAGCTGAATCCTTGGTAGTTTGAGAAAATAATGAACAGTTGTCTCCAAGCCATTAAACCTCAAAATTAATCCTCAAAGTTTTGCACCTACAGTGTACTATCAAGACCTTGGCAGAACTGGTTTCTGACACAATTTATCATGAGTTTTTTTTTTTTTAAATTATATCTAGTGCAAGTTAATAATATAAATATTTCCGCTGAAGCAACTTTTTTTTTTACTCTGGTGTTTTCCGAGTACTGAAGTTATAGTTAGTATAGTGAACAAGCATATTGCTCTGATAAGTCCTGCATACACTAAAACAGCACTGGAAACAATATACAGTACCGACCAGACCCAACCTGACACAAAGCAGTCCCAGAGCAGTCCCGGGGACTGCTTTCTGGGACTGCTAAAGCAGTCCCACAGCGGTCCCAGAGCAGTCCCACAGCGGTCCCAGAAAGCAGTCCCAGCAGTGCCAGTGGGCGGGGTTAATTAATTTAATGGGCGGAACTTACTCAGAATGAGATTACCAATAAACAATGTAACTATAAAAGGCAGTTGAAATTGATGGTCATTTCTTTCCGAGTAGTATCAACAATTATTTACAATTCTTACGCAACAGTCATTTCTGAACTGTTAAGAAAACCACAGTACGCGTGTAGAAACAAATAATAATTATTGAACGAAGATGTTTACTACGGAAGCCGGTAGGTGCCAGGTAGAAAAATATTTTATCTGGCGGCCGCCACATAAAATAACTGTCGGCCGCCAGAAATTTATCTGGCGGCCGCCAAATAATTTTCTAGCGGCCGCCAGATAAAAAGATTTGGCGGCCGCCAGAAAATAATCTGGCGGCCGCCAAAGTTAATCTTCTGGCGGCCGCCAGTTCTATTTATCTGGCGGCCGCCAGAAAGTTATCTGGCGGCCGCCAGATATTATATAGCGGCCGCCAAATAATTATCTGGCGGCGCCAGATAACTTTTTGGCGGCAGCGAGATCTTTTTATCTAGCGGCCGCCAGAAAATTATTTGGCGGCCGCCAGATAACTTTCTGGCGCCCGCAAGTTATTTATTTGGCGGCCGCCAGATAAAAATATTTTTTCTACCTGGCACCAACCGGCTTCCGTAGTTTACACCTATTAAAACATGAATATTTAAACACAATTATTTGGTATATTTATTTTTCACCAAAATAAATCAGTTTCTTTTTTTTCTGTGAGTGATACTGGTTTTCATATTTATTTTTTATATAAAAAGTTAAACTTGAATTATTCATTTTCTACCAGAATTAGCTTTAAATAGATCTTATAATTATAGAGCAAGGCCGATTCCCATACTATACTCTCAAAGCATTTTTCTTAAGTATTGGAGCTTTTGAAAAATTCTTTGTTAAATATTGCCGAGTATTATATTTCAGTCATGATTTTTTTCAATGACTTGCCAATATAATTATGGTTAGATTCTCAGTTTAAGTGTTTTATTATATAAATGTTCGAGTGTACATCTGTAAATCACGCGAATGGAACCCTCAGATTATGTTCAAAATTAATTAATCCCGAAATAAATTTATACACAATTATTAAAACAAAGAATTTTTTTGCAGTACATAGATTGAAATTAGTATCATTGTTGACCAACGTGTTCAGTGATGTGTAACACTGATACCCAAATACACTGTAACACGCATTGACTTTCTGCTTATTATGCCCAAAGGCGATTGATGTTGACACCATTTTATACAATTGCATTGCTTTTTATTAATCTGTCAGGTAAACACAACAAAACAAATAAGAAATAAGTCACAATTCCCTATATTTTCAAATATTTATTTTTTAGATATATATAAATGTACCGGTACTCTTTTAATAAATTGTCTATAAATTAAAAACTAATTCATGAATTAAGCCCCCAATTATTGTTCACATTGATTGTGTGACAGAAGAATGGTAGAATAATTTTATTTTATGGTCATTTGATAAATTATTTGATCTTATTTGAGGCCGGTAAAAAAAATAGCATGGAGACAAAAATCAGTGCAGTACGTCCCTCTGAATATCTTACTGACATGACAAGTTTGTTTGTTTTTTGTTTGTTTGTTTTTTTTAATAGTGCTAATGCAAACTTTGAATACATAATTCGACAGCATTAGTTTATTAAATAGGCCTAGATATTTTTTTTTCAAACACCTGTATTAAAGTTTGATTTAAGGGATAAAAATGATTCCCTGACTTCCCTTTTTAACTACTTTCATTTGTAAAAATTAATTCTAGACAACTGTGTAAATTTACAGCCCCTAAAGACATTTAGTAATTACATGTATAACTATCTCTAGTTACTTAATTTTTGTTTGAAATACTTCTTTTTTTAATTTTTTTTTTATCTTTAACACCTCTCTGCAGAAAGTAAACAAAACAACAACAGGGAGCTGCAAATTCAGAATACACAAGGGGCGGAGCTATCATGTCACTCAGAACCTTTTTCATGCATGAGTGAACAAAGCAGTCCCAGAAAGCAGTCCCAGGGACTGCTGGGACTGCTGGATCTGCTTTCTAGAGCAGTCCCAGAGCAGTCCCAGAGCGGTTCCAGAGCAGTCCAACAGCGGTCCCAAAGCAGTCCCGGTGACTGCTTTCTGGGACTGCTTAGGTGTCAGGTTGGGTGTGATTGGTACTGTAAGTATTGCATTACTATCTATACAATGCAAATTTAGAAAACTATCATTTAAGCCTCTTTTATGAAAAATGGTTATAAAGATCAGTATTCAAGCTCAAAGTCCAATTGAGACATTACAAATATGGAGCATGCAAACACGGACCTCAAAATCATCATCGGTGGGATCAGGTGCCATGGAGGAGTGAGCATCTCCTGACGACCGGTCACACCCTCCATGTGCTCCTTGTCATGCTCGGGAACGCATCAAACGAGACTGTTGATATCCTTGTTTCATCAACTTCTTTGTCAATAGCTTGTCTCGTTTTAGAAATTGTTCATACGTAGAGCATGCTCTTGTGTATCGAATCAGCTGGAGACAGATACCCAATATGCAGGTGATAAGGGTACATGTATTTGCTACATAAGTAAGGGAAGTTAACGTTTGAAAATTGAGACATAGGATTTAAAAAAGATTCCAAAGAAAGAAAGTTTGCAACGGTTTGAGAAAATAAATATATTTCTGCAAATGATTCTGTTTAGTCTTAATTCAAGAAAAAAAAAACAGCATGTGCCTCAGTTTGTAGACATGTTGAATAAGTATATATATGAGGAAAATCCTGCTGACAATACCTCTAAACAGTTTATGCAGGGCCCTCTCCTTATCATGGTTCAGTTCAGTCTAGGAGAGACTGGCAGTAACATAACAACCAAAACCTATGCCTTACACAGGTTTCTACCGATTTCTAAAATTCTGGCTGGCAAAAAAGGTTATTACATGATAGAGACTTTTCTACAGTGGCTGGTATAGAACATGGTATGAGAATATCTTTTTTTTAATTCGTGGCCATGAAATAAAAATTCGTAGGAACAAAATTAAATTAGTGAGAACAAAATAAAATTCGTGGGAACGAAATGAAAATTCGTGACCACGAAATAAAAAATCGTGACCACGAAATAGAATTCGTGGCCTTGAAATAAAAATTCGTTCCCACGAAATAAAATTGGTGGCCACGAAACAAAATTCCTTCCCACGAAATAAAATTCAATCCCACGAAATAAAAATTCGTTCCCACTAAATAAAAATTTGTTTCCCACGGAATAAAAATTCATTCCCACGAAATAAAAATTCGTTCCCACGATATGAAAGTTGCATAAGAATATGGCGCAGCTATATTGTAATACAGTAATACTTTATCCTTCGAGGAGATTTGTTTAGTGTATTTTAAGTATTTAAAGATGCTTGTTTTGATAAATTACTTTTTCCACTCGGAATGACACATAATAAGATTTTAGAGAGTTAAACAAAACACAGATATTGTATCAGTGGTCGACATTTAAGAAGGATTTTAAGAAACCTTGGTTTCACTACAGATCTGCAGCCTCCATAACAAATTCTACCTTGAATTAAATTATAGTTTGCATAAATAAAAGTAAAAACTCGTGTGCAGTAAGCACACTCAGTTGCAGAGAGTGTGTCTTTTTAAATCAACATATTATTTTGAAGAAATATCAGCAATTGTTTTGTGAGACACAAAGTACGGTTTCTGTTTACCATGACATGTAAATCTTTAGACCTATTAAATGTTGTAATAAATAGACTTATTAAATGCAATAGTTAATGACAACTTAGATATGTACAGTAAGATAGTAATATACATGTATATCTCTCCCTGATAATGGTTAAAAATACAAGTGTTGTACTGTCATTTATCTTATATCATAAGCAAAGAAATTAAAGTTATTACCTGGGAACGAATTCTATTTCGTGGGAACGAAATTAAGTTCGTGGGAACGAATTTTATTAAAATATTATTATTTCGTGGCCACGAATTTATTTAAAAAAAAAATCATACCATGTCTTATAGCAGCCACCGTACTTTTCAGCAATGCAGCAAGTAAAAAAAAAACCTTCCAAATTCTTTTGACCCTTGTTTGCAGGGTACTATTTTCTGACCAGACACTTACCTTTTATCAAAGATATGAAAAGAAAAACTTTGTACAGTGTATTTAAATCCATGTTCACAGATTAGTTCAAAACTATGTTAAAATTCCCATAAATCTGAACAGAGTTTTTTTTCTGATCATAGAGTCTGTAGTCCTGATAATTCAACACTGTTCAACAGCGCTTGTCCACTGTTCGACAGCGCTGCTTCTAGATTTTCTGATGGCAAAAGTTGGTGTTCACTACTCCTGACAAAGGACAAGCCTAGGAGAGAAATTAAAATCTATATATTTTTTATTTCATAGTTTTATAATATTTGAAGAAATTCATTTCTAACAAACCAGGAAAAAAAGAGTCAATGAAATATGCCAAATAGACTTTATTTCAGTTTGATATTTTACCTTACAAATTCTCATAAAGTTTTTATTTATGAGTAGTGTTATCGTTTTTGTGTCATCAGTTTTAATTAATTTTCTATTGTTTACCAAGAGACTTGGACCCTTCCACCGAGCAAAGAGTGTCGAGGAATGCCAAAACAAACTCGGAAAACGTTTTGGATAGCTGATAGAAAACTTATTCCTACTTTCTAAAAACTTATCTTTAGTTGTCCAAGGCCGAAAACTGTGGGCATCGGTTTTTCCTGAGAGTTCAATAAATCATAGGCTGCCTGAATTCAGTTTATTACTGTGAAAAATCGGGATGTCATCTTTATATAAAAAGACACGTGTGCCTTTATTTCGAGTTCTTCCGGCATGATAAAAATTAACTTTTAATTATAGATGTTTCATATAATATATAGTTCTTCATATCTGTATTTGTTTTGAAATATCTATATGAAGAGACACATTGGATTATCTAGTTCTGGTCCTATTTTCCGAGATATTTGTATGCTTATGTATGTTTCTAGCAAACAATCGATAAATCATGTTTTTCCCCAACGATTACAGTGATGGAATTATATGCTGACATATGAGTAAATTTATACTGTGTATTCGAAGTTTTTAATATTCCCTGGATTGGTGATATCGTCATAAGGGGTGAAGAAAATTGCCTTTGTAAGGCTAACAATACAGATGTATAAAATTTAAAAAAAAAAAAAAAACTCATTTCTGTTGTAAATTTCAAAACCAATCTAAAAATTAAGTTAAAGAAGAAAAATTCAAAAATCACAATATATTCCATAATAAGAATGATTCAAGAAAAGTACCATCAAGCATACCCTAAATGGCTTTTGATATAATAAAAATATGCAAGGAAAAAAAGAATTCCTTAATAATATTCGAAAAAAGTATCTTACTGAAAGATTGTCTTTTTCATTAATAAAAAGTACCAAAATATTACTCACAAGTTTATCCTCAATAAACAAGTACATTTCTTAATAAAAGATTTTCCTTTATCTTAGTTTTAGATGAGACTTATCTATAAAACGCGACCAAGTTAACAGGAAGCTATCCCATGTGTTTATCAAGGATGAATGTGATTTATAGTGATGTTCACAAACATTCATTTGTATTGCCTTGTATTTAAGAAAGAGACGTTGTCTTATGAAAAATAATAAACAAGGAACAAAACCTATTAACTAGGAGTAAAGAACATTAACTTTTTATAATCATGACCATACATGTATATATCAGTGATTATACCTGTCCACACTATGAATATTTTTCTATGTAAAATATGCACCTTTACCAGTTTGCCAGTGTTTCTCACCTGGTTTTAATTTGTAAAACTTATTTTCATATTAAACTTTCAAATTTTTTTTTTAAATTTCCTTTCCCTCACTCCATTTCTCTAAATGAAATATGAAGATGACGGACAATAATCAATCTCAAAAGTCCATTAAACAAGTACAATTCAAGAGGAGATCAAACACGAACCATTAAAATATCAGATGTGGGACCAGGTGCCATGGGGGACTAAGCATCCCCTGTCGACAGATCACACTCCCCATGTGCTCTTAATTATAATCATGATCGGGCAAACAGGAAAATGCGTAGACAATTCAGTGGAAAAAATGGACTGACAATTTGTTTGATAAACGTCAGTCATCAACATTTGACTTATCAATAGACTGTATTTGCTGAAAAGCTCATTGTATTGACCATGGAAGTTTTGAAATGTTCACTTAAACGAGGTTGTTGATATTCTTGTTTCATCGACTTCTTTGTCAATAGCTTGCCACGTTTTAGAAATAATTCCTACATAGGGCATGCTCTTGCGTATCAATTCAACTGGGAGTCATATGCTTAAAATGCAGGAGATAATGGTATTTTGCTAAATAAATGAAGGAAGCTGACGCTGGGAAAGTTGTCATCATGTTAATATTCCTTTCAACTGAATGATTTCTCTTACTTATATTTGTTTCTATATTGAACAAATAGGTAAAACAAATCAGAGTAACGATGTCTACATTCAAAATGCATTAACATGTACATGTATGATAAATAATGTGGAAACTATGCATCTGTAACACATTGTAACAAAATAGTCAAATAAAAAGTAAGCTAGATAATAATAGCAAAAGTTTGATAGTAATTGCAACAAACTACCACTCCTAACAAATCCTGCTTTGTAAAGTGTAATTTATGTCGATTTCTTAATTTTATTCTAATTTACAGATCCACAACCAAGCATAAAAATTGAAGGAAAAAAAAAAGAAATTGACAAATCTCCCGTTTTCAAGATAACTAAATGAATTTTTTCGCATATATCAAGCGAATTCTTTGAATGACCAAAAAAAAAAAACAAAAACAAAAAAACAAAAACAAAAAAACAAAAACAAAAAAAACAAGAATTCTAGAAGTATGATTTACTGTATACCCTTTGCCGTAATTAAATGAGTTGTTCTTTAAGATATTCACTACTGATCCCTTGAAATCATTTCTGTTGTTTTGTTGTTGTTGACGTCATCGTTTTGTGGTTTAATTTTGTTTTCTCATTTTTAGTCTGAAAACGATAAGTAAGAGGATGAGAATTATCATAATCCCACATATTAATCTTCACAAGACTGTCCTTCTCCAGCCCTTTATAAGCCTAATCTTTTTTTTCACAGTTCAATTTATTTCCCTTCACAGACTTCACCTTAACAAATATGTCTCCTTCATTGTAACATACTTGGTGCGACAAACAAGAGTAATCAGTATGCCTCTGTCACGTTAGGAAAAAAGTAAATAAACATATTCGACATCAATTGCACAGTTATATGTTACAGAGTGAAATGAACACAAATGCAAGTTCAATGAAATAAAACGTAACAAAAAGGAAAATGTAAGATAAACATATGCATGTACTACACACAGGGTCGACCAGGTAAAAAAAAATAGGAATAACAAATGCAAAGAGTTTATATACCCCAGTGCTGATAAAGGAAATGGAAAAAACTAATGTGACCTGCCTAATTACGAGTCGTGTTCAGCTTTAAGTGGTATGCAGTAGTCTTCAGTGGTCTTCATTTCTTGTTTTACATCCCGCCTGTATACTAATCTTCAGGTAAATAAATCGGTTAGTTTTGTATAAACTTTCCTTTACTCGTATCCCTTGTTTTTATTAATCACACTTTTTAGTTTGTTTTTTTTTTACGCCAATATACATGTATATCCTTTTTTTAATTGAAAAAATAGCCCGTATTCTTAAAAATACCCATTCCTTGCAATTTTTTATCCGGACATTACTTTCGAATATTTCTACATATTTGCACCATTTTTTCTACATACATTTCCTTCTCAATATTCTAATCTTTACTGTTTATCATCAATTCATGTTTTGCTTATGAACTGTGGATATCTGGTTTGCTTATATATACCGATTATTCCCTCCCGAAGCTCCCATTTTTACTTATTTCAAATCTAAATTACATAAAACAACTTTTATCATTATCGTTGCTTCCCTTATCTGTCATCAAATACAGAAAAAAAGTGGGGATAATATTTATAGCGTAATTGCTTAGGCCGTGGATATCAGCCTGGATAACTCAGTTGGTAGAGCACCTGACTGATGATGCAGGGGTCACAGGTTCGATTCCCGGTCCAGCCATACATTTTCTTTTTTGTTACAGATTTGGTACCGTTGACCACCCCTGAATTTGCAGGTGAAAGTCCTGCGAGGGGCAAATAAGAACTTGCGTTGTTTCTTCGAGGACGGGGGTTCGATTCCCGGTACAGCCATACATTTTCTCCTTTCCTGTTACAATACATAGTAATCAGTGTGATGCAAGCAATAATGAAATATGTTTTGGTTAATGAAAAGGCTGAAATGAAATATGGAGATTCGTGAAGGTAACGAACAATGAACATTCCAAGAAAATCTACAAACAATACAAATGAAACACTCAACCCCGTAATTTCCAGAGGTCAGATAAGGAATAAGCATCCCCTTTCAATGGTCACAGCAGCCGTTAGTCCTATTGATCAGGTAAACGGAATATAGTAAAACACGCTTATAATGAAATCGAAGTGATGTTCACTCCTCGAGGTTGTAATGTTAACGTATATAACGAATTATGTTTATAACGAAGCGAAATCGTCCATCCCTGGCATTTTGTTTTAAGCATGTTGAACTCTGTTCTCGCGTAAGCAGACCCGCGCATTGAAATCAGCATCAACGGTCACAAATAATAGATAAGATAGTTAATCCCATTCTAATACAATTATGCATTTTCTTTGATGTTTACTTCTTAATTAATTGGGTTCTGTTATATGATTGATTGATTGATTGTATGTTGTTTTACGTCCCATTTCACTCATATAGAGCGTCACCTTATACAGGTGAATGGCTTCAAATTTATAGCTTTACTCGGCACTCAGGGCCATTAAGCAGTGAGGGTTCTTTATCGTACCAACGCCTAGTGACACAAGGCTTCGGCTTTTAAGGTCTCATCCGAAGGATCCGAAACTTTCACTTCAAAGTTGCTACCTATTTTTTTTTTATCGACTTACAGGTCATTCGAGGCCGTGATTCGAACACACGACCTTCCGATCACGGAGCGAGCGCTCTACCGATTGGCTGTTTAATTCTGTTATTCAAAATATTTTCCAGAACGTATTATACAGTTTTAACAAGCTTTTTATAATTCTACAATATTATGCAACATTACCTGAACGAGAAAAGGAAAAAAATACTAAAG